TATTTAACATTTCAATTTTCTTAGGCAAGCGAAGGAAGATCAGTTAATGGTGAAGGTCCCGATTATCAACTCGATTCATCAAACGAATTGGTAGAGCAACCATCGTCACAGCCACCGCAACCAACTGATGGTAGTTTGTTTGATTTTAATCTCTTAATTGGAAGAGAATTTATTAATTTACATTTTAAAAAAATTTAGCACAACAATCATTGACGCGGGCGAATCTTGCTGCATTCAATGCCGCCCAAGACGGCAGCAAGAAGAGCGGCAACAGCAAAAGTCAAGTGAGTTTCAAATGTCTGATATTCAATTGAAGTGCTTAATATCGTTTTATAACATTAAATTCTAGGGCCTGCCATCAAGTCCACCATTACCATACCTACGGCCACGCGGACCAAATAAAAGTAATTTACTTTTGACAACTCAACAACTCCATACAATAATTAAATATTAACTTTTTAAATTTTTGAATAGGATTTCCGAATGATGCTACATTCACAGGTGCTACCAACGGCAACAATAACGGCAGTAGATCCAGTCGCAGCAGCATTTTGAAGATAACTTCAAAAAAAAATACCGATCGACGAATTTAAAGCCGCAATTTCGGATTACGAATGTACGTTAATTTTGTAATATATTAATATTAATAATATTAATTTAATTATAATTTTTTCATTTCTTACACAGAAACTATGCGTCATCAGCAAATTTAGGACTTCTTCCACATCCTAATAGCTTTTTTTGGCCTTCTGCCACATCATTTCCACATGAAAAAAAAAAAACAAAAAATAAATAAAAAAAGAATAAAAAAACTGATTATATTTAAGTTTACCTAAAAATGTAAATTTCAAGAAAAAATAAATGAAAATGAAAAAAAAACAAAAAATCGATACACAGATGTACAAAAGCTGTGCTGACGATCCGTAGACGGTGAAATCATTTTTTGTTGGCAAATACAGTAACGCCAAACAAACGATAATAGACGGTGACGTTTTGAAAGGGTGTTTCAACACCAGCTATTGCTCTTGTCTTACAGAGTATGCTACGATTTAACGTTGTGCGTGAATGTGTTTTCACATCTAACTGCTTAGTTGTACTAGTTGAACGTCGAATCGATTGTGGCGCTAGTGTACGTAAACAATCATCTAAAATTATATGTACTTCTATACAATGCGCTCACTGTGTGAATACTAATACACAAAATGACCGAAAATTAATTGTGGGCGAAAATCAATGATGACAAAGGACAGAGAAAGAAACGAAAAATTATATTCATTTTCCATTTCACTTGGTATTTTTTATTTCAATTAAACATTTAATATATATATTTGAACCTTCACATTTCGTTACGATATTTTAATGAAGATACAATGTTCAAACGAAGAAAACACAAAATAAAACCTAGGGGCTCGGAACGTCGGAACTTGAAAAAAAAAACATCAAATAAACATAAATTCGATCGGTGCGAAAGAGTCACATTATTCATTTTTATATTCGCGGATCTCTGTCTTCGTTCAACTCAGCCTCATTAGTTGTATTATAATTTGCTAATTTTTTTTCAAACACACATTTTCAACTAATGAAAATCCGTATTGATCATCGCACAATTTATATTTCCTTGATTGACCGCCGTTCCTCTGAAATAGATTATCGAGTTCAACGATCGCACCCAAAACTCGCATATATACACAGAAAGAAAAAATGTGGTATTTTTAATTCAATTTTGGTAGATTTAATATAGAATCAACCAACAACGAATTAAATTTACCATTTTTGAATAAAAGAAGGAATTTCCATATTTAACAAATCAGTCATTTATTGAAATTGATCATTTTATACAGAGTATC